GTATAGATCATGATGGAAGGACCCCCCCCCCATGGACCATCTTGTGAACACTCACCCACCCATATACACTTTCTCAATACATAAACAAACAAAATACCCTTTAGAAAGTGGATGCAATTCAGGGTTAGTGGAGAAAACTACTCACAGGTGTCAGGTCACTAATGATTTAAGACAAACAAGTATGAGCTGTATCAGAGCTGACATACCAAGCCTGAGGAGGTCAGCGAATGCACAGTAAAAACAAAACAAAACAAACAAACAAAAAAATGACTCAACAATATTAGCACGGGCTGCTCCCACAGCATTTTAAGGAAAACTATCACAATTCTGTTCCTTCGCCAGGAAAACCTTGTTTCATTTACACAGCATTTCTCTCTCCTAGGAACACACCCTGTATTCATTTGCCTGACATGGTCTACTTAAGTCAAAGTAAACTGAAAGAAAGCCTTCAAGAAAACAAATCACTCAGCAGTTTGCATATCCACTTTTCATAAACACCAAGATAATTTCCCAAACAAAAGGCAGAACAGTGGCTACAGGATAAAAGATACAGGAAGACAAACCTCAATTTACTTCTTTTGCCTGCCCTGAAGGACAGGAAGTCTGGGAGGAGCTTGCCCCCTCAGGCTTTATTTAATGTGGTGACACTTTAGGTAGATTCTCCACCCCCAACCCCCATCTCCTTCATCACTCCTGACATGGGGTAGTGACATCTCCTTCATCAATCCTGACATGGAGTGGTGACATCTCCTTCAGCAGTGGGGGCATTTTCACACCACATACAGAATGCTCACTCTTCTGCAGTCTCACCACAGGCTTCCTTCCTGCAGGACCCTTGCCATCAGCCTACTGTCATGCCATTAAGCCCTTTTGGTCAGTTACAGAGCTGGCACCCATCAATCAACTTATCAATAATCAAGCACCAGATACTCTGATTTCCTTTGTCCTTTATGTCAATTGTTTTTGAACCCTGGGGAGAGGAAAAGGCAGTTGCTCTATCTGGGTTCAAATGGTTCACACATTCTTGTGAGAGCACAGCCCATTCACACTGCCTTCCATCAAAGCCCCTCGAAATCCAAACCTCATACCTCTTTTCTTCTCACAATGGGAACAGGCCAGGCTAAATACATGAATATTCTTGATTTCCTAGTAATCTTTTTTAAATTTTATTTAATTTAGAAACAATCTTATTTTACATATCAATCCCAGTTCCCTCTTCCTCCCATGCCTGGATTTCATAATAATCTTAAGGAAAGACCCTGTCTACTCTAAGATGTTCTCCTTGTTATCCAATATTTGGTTTGTTTTTTGGTTTTTGTCTTTTTAAAGGTTACTCATAGAAGAAAACAAAATAACAACAGCAAACCACAAAAACACAGCAAAGGTAGAGAACAATTGTGAGGTCTCTAGGTACTAAGTGCTAACATCCATTAATTCTACGTATTCCTTATGGAGTAAGCCATCATTGCCCATAAAGGTCCTTAAGGAATCTAATTTAATGGCATGATGGAACCAAATGCAATTAGAATATAATTGTGCATATGTAAATATGCTTAGGGGAGCTTTGAGAGAGCTGATGACTGCTACATTCACCCAGGAATTTGGCCTACATTATTAAGTCTCACTATTATGAGGAAAGGGATTGCTAAGCAAAGGCAAACTACCCAATGAGTTTGAATCAGTGAACTCCAAAGTATGGCAGGACATGGAGGCAGCCCTGCACACATATGTTAATTCTCTACTGAGCAAAAATACTTTCTGGCCGACCTCATAGGAGGTCTCCTTATTGAAAGATTTATTTTTAATTTTGAACAGCTTCCCAGCATCCACCTCCATGAAAATTAAAATAAAGAGATGAAGTTTTGTCCTATTAAGCAAGTCTCCCTGCAGGATTGCTCAACATGACAGGGAAAAAGACACTTCATTGTTCCAGAGGAATTACCTGTCCACTTTTCTGCTAAATCTAAAATAATTACAACAACATTTTTCATAAAAGTTTTGACTCTTTCCTTCCTTTCTAATAAAGTTCTTGCACATGTTACCCCTGTGGAAGACTTTCAACATGCCTTCACTGTGCTCTTTGGACCTTTTGGCATAGCAAGGGCTGACATAATCTTTTGGCTGGAGCCCTTAAGTATATGAAGAATCATGGAAGTCTCTTCCTAAACTCTGTGGAGATGGAGACTATCTCCACTCCATCTCCCAAGGGCTGCCCTCAGCCAGAAAATGACTCCAAACTTGACCCTGTGGCCTCAAAAGGTCCAGCCCTAGTTTAAAATTGCTTCAGAACACAATGCTCTTATTTGTGTGAGGGTAATTAAAAGGAGATAATAAAAGAAAGGACTGAGTATGAAGCTCAGTGGAAGAGTGGTTGTCTAGTGTGCACAAAGGCCTGGGTTCAAACCCCATCACTGTGGGTGAATAAGGACGGGTAAGGACTGAATTTAAGGACTAACTGGTCATAACCAGATTCTTCTAAGTGTGGAGACTGCTCTGTACATGTTGGCTGCTTGTTGTACAATGGCATCAATGATGGCCCAAGGAGCTGTGATATTTCCACTGCATTTACACACACACACACACACACACACACACCAACAACACACACCAACATTACTTGTGATTACTCTTGTGATACTTCTAAAATCTCTGACACCATTCTAGTCTTTTTAGAAAAGTGAAACAGTGTCAAACAGTGCTGACGATCTAAAAGTGCAAAATTAAAAGGCAAAAGTCCAGGGGCTGGGGTCATAGCTCAGTTGGTAAAGTGTACACTTAAAAAAAAACAGTCAAGCTTGGTGGCAAATTATTGTAACAGGAAAAGTAGGGATGAGTGAATCCTTTGTGTTCACTGGACAAACAGCATAACTTACTTGGCCAGTTACAGGCCAGTGAGACACATGCCTCACTAATAATAATAATAATAATAAATCAATCAAGCAACAAAGTTGTCCTCTGATGTCTACAATACATAGGTACACACATGAATGTACAACCAGACACATGCATCTGCACACATGCAAACATATATATACATGGTTCACAACTAAGAGTGTTCATACTTCAACAGCTAAACATTTTTTATGGCAGCTCCTCTTTAAAATTTTTTTATAGGAAATTTGAGTAAAATGGGAAAAATGGATTTGAATAAAGTCTCTGGTATACTTTCATTACTGAATCAGTTAATATGCACATTTTATTCAACTATGGAGGTCAGCTCCAGAAACATTAAAAAGTGAAATATGAGACAGTAGGATTGAGAGCCACTAACAGTCCTTTTCTGGTCATGCTTGCTATCATACAAATGTCACAATAAGACACTTTCCTCCTACTCCTGAACTCTTTAAAAATAACAGGGAACCTGGTCAGTGAGGTAGCTCACCAGGTACCTGCCAGAAAAGTCTCCCCTAAGTGGAACCCTTGATTTCCAAGGCGGAAGGAGAGACCCATCCTAAAGCTGTTCTCTGATCTCCACCTGTGAACCATGAGTCTCCTGCACTTCTTAATATTCAAGATTGTGACAGAATTGTAATAAACTCAAACAGTTTTCTCATTAGCTCTGTTTGATGTATGATATAGATGAAATGGGTCGGGGAGGGGGCGCGCAGCTCAGATCAGTCAGAGTCAATTAGGCAAATGTCTACAAAATTAGCATGCATCCTCCTTGAAAGGTAGGGTAGAGTTTGAGAAAGGCCATAGCCCAGGCTGGCCCCCAACTACTCATCCTCCTCAACCTCCTACATACTGGGACTGTATAGGCATGTTATCACACAGTACTAGCATGCTTCTTAAGGCAATTTTGTTTACAGAAATAAGGTTTATACAATTGGTTGTAATATAAAACCATGTAGATTATTTACAGTCTTTTACATTTAAGAACACAGTCCAAACTGTAGCTGTTTGATGCACTTGCCTACTTATTCTTTATCAATAAAACTTGGGAGTCAAATATTGGGGTAAGAACCTGAGTGATCAGAGAAGCACCCAGGAAGCAACCAGTGACCTTCTCTTGCTCATTCTTCCATCCAAAAGCTCTGATACCCTCTCTAAGCCCCACCCTACTACTTCCTGTCTGCCTGCCCTCAATCCTCCAAAACAACCTCTGTGATTAACTTATGCCACCTAGTAGCTAGCTCTGCCAGTTGATTCGAAGCAAACGTTATTGTCAGTCTTGGGATCATCAGATTTCAGTCAAAAATACCACACAGCAGCTGCTAATCTGTTGGATAATTCAACAGATCCGAGGATTTGATTTAGTAAAAATCAAATTTAAGATCTTAGTAATCTGTAAGTGTTGTGATGTCCATCTACGGATTTGGGGATTAAGTAGCAAACACAGGGGCTGGATAGATGATTTGGTGGTCCAGAGTGCTTGCTGAACAATCATGAGGACTAGAGTTCAAATACCAGTAACAACATTAACAAGCCAGACATCCAGCATACACCTTAATATCACCAGAGTGGGGCAGAACCAAAAGGATTATTGAGGTTTGCTGGCTTCCAGCCTACCCTAGAAAATACAAGGGCTGGGTTTAGGGAGAGACCCTGCCTCAAAGGAAATGGTTGAGAGTATTAGAGGTAGATAGACCCCAGGCTCTTCTGGCCTCTCATGCTTTGATGCTCATAGGCTCTTCTACTTATATACATATATACACATATGCATACACATATACACATATACTCACACATATTTAACTCTTAAAAGACAAAGGAAGCAAATCAGTGTAAAATGCATACAACTGACCCAGTTTACTAATGTGTCATCATTGTCTTTCAGTCATACTGTCTGATTCTTCATTTTATTTCTATTGCCTGATATAAGGCATGGTATGCAGCTGCTGTCTGAAGCAATACAATATTTGCTATATTAATAACTGTCCTCTCCCAAATCCTTTGCATTCTAACAGATTCTAGGTTTATAACAGGTTTTGATTTGATTTCAGAACAGGAATACAATTCATGATGCTCGGCACCCATGACTTAATAGGAATTATTCCTACCTGCTTGGTTGGTTGTCACAGTGACAGACACTGACTGGTCCGGGCTAGGGTTATACTTAGATACTCCATTCACGGCCCAGATCTCAAACGTGTAATTGGTATGTGCGAGCAGGTCAGTGATAGAGACTCTGGTCGTCTTGAGACCATTCTGCTGTGGCGTGTAGTGGACTCCACTTCCACAGGGCCGGCACTTGCTGGGGTCACCAGCTCCACATTTCTTGCAGACCACATTGTAAGAAATGTCCTGCCGGCCACCCGTGTTCTGAGGACTGCTCCATTCCAAGTTCACCGACGTCTCGTTGACATTTGAAATCAGGTTGAGGGGAGCAGATGGTGGACCTGGGGAAAGAAAAACAGACCATCACACCAAGAACTGAGATCCCGTCGGACTCCTTTAGGTTTTCTATCATTCTCTCAGCTGCTCTTGGAGAGAAGGAAGGCCCATTTGGCAAAGCAAGCAAAAGGCAAAGAAAGCTAACAAAAAGAATCCTTCAAAAGAACAATACGATGGAAGTTGTGTGTGTCAGTGTCATTTCACTTCCAGTGCAAATAAACATGCCACTTAGAGACCAGAAACCGCTCCACAGCGAGCAGGCTCCAAGCCCAGGCCTGCTTTCAGTTGGCAGAGAAGCAGCATACGTTATCTGGTCTCCATCTTACCTTCTGAAAGTCGGCTCTACAAATGGGATTCCAGTTCCCAGGGCTGTGGGGTGACTGGAAAATGAATACTTAGAGAACGCTTTTGAAGACACGTTCTGATTGCTTAGTGGGACACATTACCAATAACAAATTAAACGATCAGAGCTATATAGATATGGGTCTGCGGCCACAGATGGAAGCGAAAGTTAAACCACTGGTAGGTTATTAGCAGGAACTGGTTTAGCAAGATTGTGAAGATATGGAAGAAACACACACACAGCTACTAAGAGATCTCAGAGCTAGTCTGGGGTTGTCCATGACTACCACATACCTCCTTTGTACTCTTCCATAAATTAGGGCTGCACCCGGCTATCTAAAGTCACATTCATTCCCACTGACATCAAAAAGTTTCTGAAATGTGAATAATGATAGCGACTGTCATAGACAACCACTTATTTAAAGTATCATAGGTAGTTAAATGGTGGAAGATAAGACTATCGACCCTTTATGGAAGAGGCTATGTCCTAACAGCTCTCAAGTAGAAGACTGAAATTGAAAGCCAAAGGAGGGTTTGTCTTGGTCTAACCCAGTTTTAAACACTTAAAAGAAGTCTTTAAAATATCCAAACTAAAACAGGCAAATGAAAAAAAACAAAACAACATAAAAAAAAAAACCTTTAAAATATCCAAACTAAAACAGGCAAATGAAAAAAAACAAAACAACAACATAAAACAACAACAACAAAAAAAAAAGGCAAAGAGCCAAACTGAGTTTTCATGAAATGTCCATTCTTTCTACACACACACACACACACACACACACACACACACACACACGTTTTTTGGGATGACTGCTTTGAAGGTAATTCTACCCTTGCCTTGGAAAGGGGAGTTAACCAGAGGGGTGTGTGAAATAGATACTTTTCCCCATTAGCCACAATGGAACACTGAGAGTCTGGTCCAAAGCAGTGATGGAGGCAGAAGTGAGGCAGGTTGCCTGTGGACATACAGTCACATTCAATATTTGTTACTTTACTTGTGGTGATGAATGGGGCCAATGGATTTGGTGGGAATGTTCTGCGTGGGAAATCTCCCCTCCTCCTCTCTCATATAGCTTAATTGAAGATGTTATTTTACAAAGGTAAGCGGCTTCTCGCCATATCCCCCTGAGACTAATTACCTAAAGCCTCTCTTAGCCGTAAGATCCACCCCAACTCGGGCCTTCAAATCTTAAGGGGGGGGGGACCTTAACAAAACTATTGTAAAATTTGTGTTAAAGCTAAGCCTACTTCACAACCCTCCCCAGAAACAAAAATTACAAATGTCCTCTTATTTAGATTTCAAGACTGAATTTATGGTCCTGAACACAGTGGGCAGGATAGGGTAAGGATAAACAAATGGCTTCAGAATGTGTGGGTGGAGTTACTGAAAATATAGACTCTGAAGAGCCAAATATGGTGTTAAGTATTAAATGTTAATGATGAGGGAATTGAGATGCAGAAGAAGGCAGATAATAATACAATATAATTCATAACAGAATCTTACTGAGGTCTCAGTGTACTGTGTCCTAGAGTCTGGGGTTATTTCTGTTCCACGGGGCAGAGTGGTGCTTTAGGTACAAGTGCGTGCTCACTTTCTACTCTTTAAAGTGTGTGACTTGTGATGGCCACCACCACCCAGCAAGCCATCACTGGTCTGCAGCCAAAGCTGGCCGTAGTCTGGTTTTAAAAAAAAAAATGGGTCAGCCACTGGTTCTTACTTTGCTGTGACTTCCAGGGCTAAACAAGAGTGACTCTGAAATCCATTAACCTCCTTGCCAAGGCTCCCAGTCTACTTTCACATGGGAAAATGTGACACAATGAACCAAGCACCACAGAGGCAAAAAGTCAGTAATTAGTATGTAGGACGGGGCACGGCAGTGTCTAAACAGGGAAGAAATGGAGCAGAAAACTAAATGGTCACAGGACATGGAGATGTAACATTGCCATGTAGAAAGCAATACAAGGATGCAGCAGGATGTCGGGTCGGGGGGTGGGGGTGATGTGAAAACTAGCTATGGTCTCAAACATTAAAGGAGGCTTTGGGGTAAATGCTTAAAGAAGAGGAACAAGGTTCAAGCCCCGTGCTGCCTCCAGGAATGGTTTAAGAAACATCACTGCCTGTGTATCATATTTTGCTGTCTTAGATCATGATGAGAATAGGGTAGCAGTGTATAAATTGGACAATTACAATCATGTGACAAAGGGGGAAATGAAACATGGAAGTCCCTGCCCGGTATGATTATCAGATTGACCTAAGAAGACCCAGAAGAGCACACATGCTTTCCAAGCTAAAATCATAATGGTGACAGGGTTTCGACTCTGGGATTGTGGTTTCTTTTTATAACTCTCGCCAATGACAAGATGACAAACACATAATGGGTGTGTGTTCTTTCTTTGTAGTGAAGTTCCACTGCTTTCTCAGAACAGAAAAATTCTCTTCAAGACAATGAAGGGGAAAAAATGATGAACTTGCAGACAGCCAAAGCCAATCTAGGTCTCCAGCTATAATTAACATTGCTGCTGCGACTCTTTGGAGGAATCTCTAAGAGAACACAGGCATTCTGAGAAACATGAATTCTCACTCAATAAACAGGAAGCCTAGCCGGGCGTTGGTGGCACACACCTTTAATCCCAGAACTCGGGAGGCAGAGGCAGGTGGATCTCTGTGAGTTCGAGACCAGCCTGGTCTACAAGAGCTTGTTCCAGGACAGCCTCCAAAGCCTCAGAGAAACCCTGTCTCGAAAAACCAAACCAAACCAAACCAAACCAAACCAAAACAAACCAAACCAAAACAGGAAGCCTACAAAAGAGAGAAACCCTGTCTCGAAAAACCAAACCAAACCAAACCAAACCAAACCAGGAAGCCTACAAAACAAAAAATAAAACTGACCACACCCATTTTTCTCTTCCATTGAAGTTTTGTATCTGACTATCCAGCATTAGCCAAGTCTCCAATGGTGATCACACCTCCTTCCTTCCTGGTCAGAGATTAAGCCCCATCTGCAAGTAGAGTCTCCAGTTCAAGTGCAGTAGGGCTGGGTACATACGGGGTCCACTTTCAGGGATCCAACCAACCAGCCAACCAGCCAGTATTCAAGAAGAATGTGTTCTCATGAATATAAACAGCCTTCTAGTTTTTTTTTTTTTTTCATTTCCCAAGTAATGTGGGAAACTACTTAGATAGCATAATATACTTTATTAGTTCTAAGTGTCTCCAACGAACATTTAAAGTATTGGAGAAATGGTGGTGTTTATATCATGTGAAATGTGGGTGGAGACCATCCTTGGATTTTGGTATCCCCAATGGTCCAAGAGCCAATCCTAAATGCATGCAAAATGAGGACTACATGACTTTTATATCGATAAAAGCTACTGTAGAATGTGATCAAATTTTCTAGTCTTGATGCCCATACCATTCTTACTGAGCACACACTGACCACCACCAAGGGCCACTGTGAGGAACAAAAATGTCTTCTAACAGCTGTCAATATTAGCCCGAATACAAGTCTGGCAGCAAGTAGGGTACCTCGCCTATTTCAGTTCCTTGTTTCTGTGGCCCAATTCACTTGTGATGCCTGACAGTTTCTTACTAACCAGACAGCCACTCCACATCTGTACCCATCTATCACCTGTGTCTAAGTCATCCTCCAGGGAATCGATGTTCTCATTATTTCCCACTGTCTACCATTATTTCCTAATATCTAGTTCAGAGAAAGCTTAATAAATGTTTGATGAGTGAGAAGATGGATGGATAGCGAAGCTCTTGAGTATAACTTATATGGATAAAAACAGGCTTCCTCGAGTTAAGACTGCACCATTTGGTTTCTCCTGTAAGATCCACCAGCACTAACTAACTCGTTCACTAGACTAGCCAGACTGGGAAGTCTGGGGAAGGCTATGTGTTCACTATCAATTGTTACTAAGGTGAAGGGGTTGTAGAGAGCTTGATTATTTAACAAATGTTTATCCAGTGTCTCATTCTGTCACCCGCTGGAGAGGAGAAGAAAAAAAAAACAAAAAACACCTCGATTCATTTTAATGCATTTGTGAGATCCCTGGATAGGAAGAGGGGCTGTAAAGGAAACAGGCTAGAGGCATCCACGCATCCTGCTCGGACCCATTCCTAGGGACTCTGTGACTAACCACTGTGCCTGGGAGCTTAAAACAGGGCCTGTCAGTTAAAGCTCTGTGAAGTCAGAACTGAAGGTTCCAATTTCTCTCTTGCTTTGTTCTCGGGTGATAATTTATCATGAAGCTAGCTAAATTCTCTCTAGAAGAAATGGATTCTAACATTTCCAAAGGAAGCCTCATATTTGCCTTCAATAGAATGTTAATAGAGCTCCCCTCCCCCTTTTAATTTTATTTTTATCACCAAATTAAGCCATTTTTAAATATGAAATAATCAAACGCTGAGATGCTTGTAAGGGAAGGCACTCCTCACTTTCATTCTGAATCATGTTTGCAAATCTCCCCCAAAGCATTCGCACATAAGCCTGATATTCTCTGTCTCTGCACCCCAAGAACGGTGCTGGCGTGTCAAAGTCTTTTAAAGTTTTCACATTTTGAATGCCCTTCTTGTTTTTAATATAATTTAGTGGCACAGATAATAACTATACTACCAGAAACAAAAGGCAAATGCAATAACCTTTAATTTATGAAT